TTTTTTTTCGTTTATCTAACCAATAAGGAAAGTTTGGTGAAAAGAAAAATTAGATCATTTTATTATCATTTTTAAAAGTACAAAAAAGTTATATTAATTTAGTATCGTTTTTTACAGTATTTAAATCTTCTAATACTTTGTATTTTTGTTATTGTAGCATTTAGTAGCGTCTGATGAAAATAAAAATTAATACAATTTTACTAACATTTTTCAATATATTAAAATTATACAGTTACGTGTATATCTTTGTGCTACCATTCAGTGATAAAAAATAGAAAAAAAGATATAATTTTATTTTGATTTTTAAATATGTTTAAATTAAATAGTTCCTTGTATATTTTCTTTATTAGATGATTGACCAGAGTTTGATGAAAAAAAAATTAAAGGACTTTGCTATCTTTTTTAAATCCATCTAATCCTTTATTAGATTGTATTTTTATATCATATCATTGCGCAGCGTTTGAAGAAAAAAAAAGTGTATGATTTTATTATTTTTTTTACATGTATGTAAATCATCTATTAGCTTCTATTTTTTTACCATGACATTGAACAGTGTTTAAAGAAAAAAAAAACATTTACTAGCATTTTTAAATCTCTTTAAACTTTTTAGTTACTTGTATGTTCCTTTTATCAGATCATTAGCAGAGTTTGATGAAAATGAAAGAAACTATATAATTTTACTATGATTTGGAAATACATTTAAATTATATAGTGTGTATATCTTTTAATAATATAATTGAGTAGGGTTGCAAAAAACAAATTGAATATTTCGATCATGAAACTAGGCACGAAAAAGAGTTTTACAAAGAATCAAACTGTTGTATGTACCATAATCGTCGTCTGTGTCAGAGTGAATGTATTTTACACAGACGACTTTTTTTTAAAATTCATAGTAAAAAAATAGCTGTAGTAATTTCAATAACCATGTGAAATTTTAAATAGCTATGATATTTTTAAACAGTTGTACCCCTTTTAAATAGCTGTATGTTTAATTAAAAAGTACCTCTTTTGAGAAGCTACGGTATCTAAGCCTTCTCATGATCTTACTCAGAGTATCTCACGATTGTTCTTCGAACAGCTTCACATAACTTACCAAAAGCCTTATAAAATTTCACCGGCATTCTCTATGCAAATACTCAGGAGATTCTTCGGCAGATCTACATTCATCATACAGAAAATCATGTATCCTTAAGGTTTCCTAAAAAACATAGGGATTAGATTTGATATTTTATTGTTCAACGATTCGATATTCTTCTCACAAGATACAGATAGAATCTTCTCTGATATTCATATAAATGATCATTCTGCCAAAAAGATTCTGAATTCTTGCAATTCTGAATAAAATCCTCCGATCCTTATGTTTTTCTATCAAAAACTTACATGGAATTAGTATTACTCTTTCTTCGAGAACCTCCTTACAGCAATCTCAAGGTGTTATTTTTATGATCAAAAAGATCTTGGCAAGAACTAGAAGTAACATAGATGTAAGAATCATTACCAAATCCTTTTTTTCTCATAGGAAACTAGGCAAAGACTTTTGAATTTTTATCTATGGAATGAGCATTCTCAAAGACGAATGTCATGTTTATAGCGCTTGCTCTCACGAGAGACGGAATCCCTTCGATAACGACGACTTCTTTTCTTTTTCGTTCATTGTAGTAATTCCTAATATTCCCGTCGATGCCCGATGGAAACAGAATGGGGTGACTGTTGCTGGAGGTCATGGACAAGGCAGTGCTACCAATCAACTCTACTACCCTCAAGGTCTCTTCGTTGATGATGATCAAACGATAGTCATCGCTGACTGGTTCAATCATCGGATCATTCAATGGAAGATGGGTGATAAGAATGGACAAGTAGTAGCTGGTGGCAATGGCGAAGGAAATCGATTGGATCAATTGAATAGTCCAAGCGATGTGTTGATTGACAAAGAGACGGATAGTCTCATTATTTGTGATTATATGAATCGACGAGTCGTACGATGGTCTCGTCGTAGTGGTACAACTCAAGGAGAAATCCTCATCAACAACATCGTTTGTTATGGATTGGCCATGGATAATCAGAGATATCTCTACATCTCTGACAACGACAAACATGAAGTAAGACGATATCAAATAGGAGACAAGAATGGAACTATTGTGGCTGGTGGCAATGGCAAAGGTGCTGGTCTCAATCAACTCAACTGTCCGTACTACATCTTTGTCGATCAACAACAGACTGCCTACGTGTCAGATTGGAACAATCATCGTGTAATGAAATGGAATAAAGGTGCAAAAGAAGGAATTGTCGTCGCTGGAGGTCAAGGACAAGGGAATGCTCTGACACAATTGTCGTGTCCTAATGGACTATTTGTCGATACGTTGGGTACCACCTATGTGGCAGACTGGGGAAATCAGCGAGTGATGCGTTGGCCTAAAGGAGCGAAACAGGGCACTGTCATTGTGGGTGGAAATGGTAAAGGAGCAGGAGCAAATCAGTTCAGCGCTCTCCGAGGTTTGTCCTTCGATCGACATGGCAATCTCTATGTCGTCGATTTCGGGAATTCTCATGTTCAACGCTTTTCAATCGAATAGACTCGTCGTGATAGATTTTCTTTGTGTTCCTTTCCTTTCAAATAAATCGCATTGAATTGATGAAATGAATGGCTTATTCTATTCGCGCGCGCGACCAGGAACCATCCTGGTGGAGCCGTGGCGAGCGTAACGCTCATGCACGCACAGAACAGACTCATATCATTCATACCCTCCCCGTGAGAGATATGTCAATGAGTCTGAATAAGCCTGGTCGTGTGCCGCGGACACCAAGATAGTTCCTGGCCAGTGTTTAACGTCTAACCTGAGAAGACGATCTAACTAACACTCATAACTCTATCTCACTCTCTCTCTCTAACTATAAAGAAAAAAAAGAAATCTATACTTACAATTCTACTGATTGATATTGAATGTAAGACGATGACTATCTAAAAGAAAAAGAAAAAAAATTTATTTAGATTCGTTTAAATTTAAAATAAGACTTACTTTCTATTATATCCACTGAAAAGAGAAAAGAAAAAAAAACATATTTTCAGAAAAATTAATAGGTTGCATATCGCTAACCCATTAATCTTAATGATATATATAATTTAAAAAAAAAGAAAAAAAAATTAAAATAATACCCACATATTTATATTGTATTGCTTGATATTATTTTGTTTTGTTTTGTACCATTAAGTCCATCCTAAAATATAATAAGAAAATTTGTTAGTTGATTCATGTAAAGGAATAATTTTTACATTGAAAAATCATTCATTTATATACACTTGAAGAGAGTTATTTTTTCTCTGGAGAGACACAATTTTCTTTTTTTTCCACTCTCCAAAGAATTGTTATTAATAGAAGCTATTAATTAAACTTCATTCCATATATGCTTATACATAAAGCTTAATTGATTGCACACTTTATGTATATATGTAATTATTGATCATCAAAATGTACATGATCAATACACATATTGAATGAGATTGAGAAAAAAACATGGTCATTGTCTTGTACAGAATCATATAGACGATATTCGTTGTTATCTTGTCGATGAATGTTGTCACATGTTTCTCTGCTATTATATACAATGCAAAAAAAAAAATTATTATTTTATTATGATGAAATCATCAATATTTTATATCAACAAGGAAAATCATATGTTTTTTGTATTATAAAATGTTATATCAAACATAATAATTTATTTGAAAAATTAAAAAGTACATTAAGTCATAATCATATTTAAATGAATTTTTTTTCATTTGTTAAATTATTTTTCTATCGAGAAAGTCTAGAATAGTTTTAGTTGATAGCTTATAAAAATTTTCTATCAAAAGTCATTAGAAACAAATCTATTTAAGGTTGGTCTCTCTTCAAAAAATGTATAATTTTCAGAAAAATATTATCTCTACGTCTAAACTTATTTAATATTATATTTTGTTTCTCAAAAAACGTACTTTTTAATGAGAAAAATAGAAATAACTCTTGCTCAATTCATTATAACAGCAAAGTTTGTTTTTGTCTATTTCAACTCTATGTGTACTGAGTATTGAAGTTAACTTTAGTTTCTTATTACAATGATTTATTTTTGAAAATATCAATCTAAACAGATCATCCTATATGTTATATCAATTTTGAATAGAATTATCATATGAAATTTTTTTGTCTTTGTTTTTCATTTAAGTTATGTGCATGTAATTGGAAATAGTCGTGTGATTCTTGGATGAAAATATACAAATATTGGTTCAGGTTGTTCAAAAACAATGCAGTTATTAGTTGAACATGAACAATTTGCTAAAGTTTGTTGTTATTGAATTTGTTGAACCACCAACAAATCTTCAAGTCAATAGGTTACATTCATATTGAAATGTACTAATATGTAAACCAACATTTTTTAATAAAATTGATGACGAAAAAATGTTCTAAGAAAAAGACTTTTATTTAATCTTTGTTGTTTTTTCTCATACATTTGTACAAGAAAGAAGAAAATTTGAGTAAGAAAAAAATTCTTTAGTTATTGAAAATTAATTATCAAGATAAAATTTTAGATTATAAGGATTTAATCAATCAGATCTTTT